CTGTGATCTGGATTATTGACTGTGTTGGCAGTCCAACATAGTTCATTTTAATGTAGCCAAGTCAAAAGTATTTCTGCTGGGCAAAAAAAAGACATATAATATTAAGCCCTGAAAGACTGTATTCACGCAAGCAGTGGTGCAGAAAAGGTTCTGAGCATTGTATCTTGACTGTCTTAATATGAGTTTCTGATACAGTGCACTGTTCAAAGAAGTGAATGTGATAAATTCAAATGGCACCATGCAGAAAAAAAGAGGGAGACGATCCGGCTTTTTAAACATACCCCAGTACACTTGTGCACAGTGGGAGCTCCAAGGAAGGAAGCAAGAATAATCACAGGATTAAAAACAAAGAAACCAACAACTGGCTGGGTTCTATCTTTCCATTTAGCAGCACAGAGGTTGAGAGGTGTCATGTCTATATAAAAATACCTGTATATAAATAAATACATACTGCATATGCAAATATATATACAGATGTAGAAGAGATCTGGTGGTTTAATGAGAAACAACGGGGAATCAAGCACATTCAACCCTGAAATCAGAAGCAGTGCTGTAGTTAAATTAGTGGTAAAACTTTAGGAGAAGAGAGCTGGTGGAATCATTTATAATTAGATATTTCTTTTTGTAAGATGTACTTTATTCAAACTTCTGGCATCAATTCAATGGGTTTTAGAGAGAGATTACAGCTGAGTGACTGCAGTAGCACTTCAGGCTCTAAAATATGTAAATCCATAAACAATATTAAAAAAACCACATATGCAGGTATCTTTCAGAAGGACAAGTTCAGCATCTGTTCCAGGGGCTATTGTTGTCTCCCAGTTAGCATGGCTTCATGTTATGGCTTAATTACATTTTATTGTTACTGTATGTTGTTAATATGCACAGTAGTTTAAACATTGTGTGTGCAGAGATACTCAGTTTCAATTTCATATATACATGGGGTTTATTTGGATGTTTCCACATACTGGTGATAGAAGAACAGGTGTTCCCTCTGAGCTAATCGGGTATTCATTTATCCTGTTTTTATATAGCTAATGTATTAAGCTTCCCTGCGTGTATGTTTGTTTTCATTTCAGGCTTCATTCAGGAAAACAATTACTGATAAAAATCTTTGTTTCAAAGAGCACAGAGTAGGAGCGCTGAGCTGAAATTGAATTTGTGAAGTGTTTCTGGTACAGCGTCGTCATTTTTATAGCACTCCAGTGAGGGACAAAGAGAAGACTTCTGGAAACATTTATTCCTGACTTCAGACTTAAGCCTCTTAGTACTTTCTTTTCTAAAAGTTTTTTCAAATATAAATGTGGTGATAAAATCAGAGCTTTCTTGAAGCTTGTTGCTTTTAAGTGTACATTCATAGTTTTGTAGTTCTGGATTGCCAGGTACCAGTCGTCAGATCTGTTCAGAACTTGCAGCTCATTCTTTGTGGGGGTATCAAAGCAGCCTTCCCTATCTTCTTGTTTTTTTTAATGAATTGACAGTGACTTGTGATTGCCTGAAAAACTTTTTGTCTTGCTTCTAGTCAGAGTTGTGCCTGACTGACACACTGACATGGAACTTAGAGGTGTTTGGGCATCTCCAATTTAAAAATCTTACCATTTTGGCATTTCCAACTCGATCTTGGAAATTGTAGATTCAATGCTGATGGGTAGATTTTACTGATTTGTTAAATTGGTTTCTGGCACTTGGGTGTTCAAATTCTGCACAGTGGGGGATGTACAGTGATGTACTTTTCTGCGCCCAGTTTGGTGTGTGCTTCTGAAAGGGACAGTCATGGAGGACAGCATGCGGATGTCTTTGAGGTCGTAATAGGGGAGATCTGTCATGTTGCAACTTTCTAGAATATTAGAGTTCTGGTTTCCTTTACAAAAATATCATCTGGGCTTGGAGGCATTCCTAATTAGTGGAAGACGGAAGTCAGTATTGATCAATAGTCATTTGTGTTGGCTATGGGCGAGGAATCATCAGGGACTGTATACGCAGGCTGGCAGGGATGTCCTTTGGCTTGATGGTCCAACAGAGGTCAGAAGAGAAATGATTCAGCTATCCAGCTGAGGAATTTTGGCATGCTGCTTGGGCCCAGGGGTAGATACTAAATAGCTACCTTATGCCTATCTGAGAAAAATTATTCTTTCCAGATTTGATGTAGCGTATTCCCATCTTTGTGTGGTGGCTGTCAAAGTCTCTAACGTACAGCTGGGCAGTTCATGCATGAAAGAACTTGTTGCCTTCGGTTCTCCCTTAGAGACTTATAAACATTAGCCACCCAGAGGCTACTGATGTAGATAAGCATGCTATAAATTGACACTGCATGTAAATGAGCTATCGTGCTGTGTCGTGGTGATTAATGTAACTGTAATGGCACACATTATCTTTGAAAATTATGATAACCTGGGGAAATCACTTAAAGATAACCTGTTCTGTCTGTTCTTCTCAGGAGAATATCTGCATTTTGGCTCCGTATAGCTTATCTTTACTCCTAATGCAAAAAAGAAAATTAAAGAGAGCAAATTGTATACGAGGACCATATTCTAACTTGCATTGCATTTACTCTTGAATGTTAATTTTCTTATGCAAAAAAAATGCTTTTGAGTTGCCTTAAGACCGGCCTTCTTTAATAGGCACTCTCCAGAAATCATAATGGTTTTGTTAGAAGCTCAAGATTCAGGTGTCAGTGCTGGCACTTAACTAATTGTTGATGAACCCTTCATACTTCTGTCATGCTGTTAAAGCCCTGGCACTAACTGCTTGAGGCTTGGTTTGACTTCATTTATATCTTACAGGAATTTGTCTTAGTTTAGCTTTTCATTCTGAAAGTATGTACTTTTCCTTGCAGGTTTTGCTTGTGCCATAATTCAATATTTGTTCCAGTTTCTAAACACAATAGCTGATGAATACTTATGTTTTCTCTGATCTGTTGGTACAGGTTTCATTAATTTATGATGGTTAAATTTGCAGAAAAATTTCTTTCATGTTTCAAATGAAGTTTAAAGCAGAAAAAAGAAATAGCTGTGGAATGCGTTTGGTTTTGCTAGTTCCCTATTTTGGTCCAAATCTGAGAAAGCTGGGATTTTTGAATGTGAAGCATTAACCAAAAAACGCTTCAGTAAGTATTGCAGAATCCCAGACGTTCGGATCCAAGGCACCAGTAGGTACATTTCCCCATTTTTACTTGGGAACTGTTTGGGCTGTCTACCCTCTTTTGCTCTGTGCTCTAAAACAGAAACAACTCTGTCCTGCTAATTCTGATCACTTTCCTCCTCTCCCTGCTTTTTCATATCAGGGATAGTAGAAGGACGAGCTCAGGAATCCTTGAGGAAAGGCAAACTGTAACATGTGTGTATTCCTGGAATAGTTCTTTGAATTCTCCTCATGAGACTCAAAAAGTCTTTTCATGGAGGGGCTCTTGAGAGAAGTGAATGAGTCAGGGGAAGAGGATGGAGAAAGGAGAAAAAGAATATCTCCTAATAAATGCTAGTAATTACTGGGCAGGTATGCACATAGGGCAAATAGAGTTCAGCACAGGCTATAGTAAGTGCTGTATCTGTTAAGGTTGAAAGCCATGCGACTTGAAAACATGAGATTTACGTGTACAGTGAAGGCTTCTGTAAAAGTATGTTTTACTGTAACTCTAGTGAAATACACCCTCTTGTGGCAAGAAGAAAAAAGTCCAAGCAGAAACCTGTGTGACCTCTGTTTTTTCTATGCTCGCTGGTTTGCCTTACTTACTCTTCTTTTGTCTTTCCCCTGTGTTCAGTGAATATTCCTCGCTGGTATGCACCGCATGTGCTTTCCTACAGTTTTCTGTTGTTTCATCTTTCTGTTTATGCAGTACCTGAATCCATTCTGTTTGTCTTGCAGATTCTAAAACTTCACTCTGTCTATCTCAATCTGGTTTTATCAGTATTTGGATTGCATTTAAACTCTTGGCTTTGAAGTGCCCTTTCTTATTAAGTTGCCAGCATACTGAAAATATGCCTTACAGACTAACTTTAAAACATTTACAGGAGTAAAAGGCTGGAAAAATAGATAAGGATGTTGAAAAACATACTAGCTTTGTTTCTTAAATAGCTTAGTTTGTCTGAACTACTATGAAGGGGTCATGTATAGATGGGATTAGGAGATACATGCTGCTTTTCCCAGCTGTTTGATTAACCAACTTAGAGATGGGTCAAATGCAGTAGCAGAGTGCAAAGAAGGCACATCACCTTCAAAGTGCAGAAAAGGCCCTACAGCATGTTTGCAGTTTATCAGATTTGCTGCATAATAAGCTGTACAATCCATTCAGCACTATAATTAACCCAGGAAAGCACTCCGGTTCAGTCTTTGCTGATAGCATGAACCTCACAAAGCCAAGCAGTCTCAGCAGAATACCTCTAAATAAGATTAAGCAAAGCGAACCAACCATGAAATAAAATATAGACTAAGTGACGAGCAAATACGATTTGTTGCTTGCATTTAGTACCAAGCTCTGTGCTTGGCATGAGGTGTCCAGGCATATAATGTGTGAATAGCACTGGCAAGTCTTAACAAGTTCCAACAGATGAGACCTTAAGCAGATATCATTGATGTTTTCACTGTGCAAAGAAAAATAACCAAGTGTTGTATGAAAATTCTTGTAAATGCATGTTGATGGCATTTCCCGCAACTCCTAAATGGTCATGGCTCTCAGCCCATTGATACCCAGCAGGATTGGGAATTACATGCTGGTGGGCTCATCTGGAATGTGGTGGACAGAAACGGTGGCAGACTGGGTAATGCTGGGATATCAGTGGAAAGAAGAAGCAGAAAGAACTGGAGAAAGGAAAGCCAAGGCTGGTGGCAGGTTTGTAAAGTGACAGGTTCCTTAGACCTGTGCTGTTGCTAAAGAACTTTGTCAGACAGCAGGCAAAAAAATACTGCTTACGTGATGGAGGACAGATAGAGTAGCTATAGACATACATCCTGAAATCTAGTACCTATTTGAAAAACAGATCTCATTATTCTTTCTTTCACTTTTTTAGGTATCTTGCAATATCTTCAGAACTCTCCCACCTAGTGACAGCAATGAATTTGATCCAGAAGAAGATGAGCCCACCTTGGAGGCATCATGGCCACATTTACAGGTTTTTGATCATTCATCTCAGAAGAAATGCTTATCATTGCTTCATGTGTCTAATAATTTTCTCAGCTTTTTTTTAACCTGTGAATCAGAACTAGTCTGTGAGGCGCTAACATTTATTAGTATCGTTCATGGCTATAATATAGTACCTACAAAGATGGGAGAGTACTTTGTGAAATTTGCAAAATGTTAAAGCTTTCTTTCAAAATTGTATTGATGGTGTCCCTCATATTCCTGTTTTCCTTCATTGTTTTAAAAATTACTTTCCTTTCTAAACTGCTCTGATGCACAAGTGTTTTTCAGCAACTTCAGCAAGAGCATTGTGGGGGTGATACTGCTAGCAGTTTGGCTTTACTGAGGGTAGTTGATTTTCATACAAAAGTACACAGGTGTTGGCAGCTGATCAGAAAAATGCATGAGAATCTACATCCCTATCTAAGTCTTCCATCCTTTCCCTTGGTCGAGGTTGGCTTTCAAGTGTTTGTAGCAGGATGCATGCTCACTGCTGTGTATTGTCCCTTCCTCTGTAGGAAGGGATGATACCAAGTGTCAACACAAGGTATTTTCAACAAAGAACATAAACTAATTTTGGAGAAAGCATCATTGATGTTAATGCAGTAAATTCCTTTATAGAAAATATAGATGCAGATCCTGCCTGTGTTAGTCAGGACAATGATTTACACCACTAGTACATTTAGAAGAAGTTTGCCTGAGTAACAGTTTGTGGAGTCTGGGAGTTTCTGTAAGCAGAGGAGCACGATGGATCTCAGCTTGAAAAGCGGATTTTATTTGACAGTTGCATGCACAATCCTTGCCTGTGAGCAGTTTGTTTCACTCTTTTGTGCTTCCAAATTTAGAATCTGTTGAAATGTAGGTTTCATCCCTCATTTGTATTTAAATTTCACAAAAATAAGAATCTTGAAAGCTTCAAGGCAGCTCTGAATCGCTTTGCCTGCCTGGAAACTGGACAGGCATACATATCTGTTATCTTATGTTTGTTGACACTAGTGCTGTAGCTTTAGAAGTCATTATTTACATGGAAATGATGGAGTTTCTTAGCCAGTGGATGATTTACCATTGTCAGGAAGAAATGCACCAAAGTATTTGTCAGGAGTTGATGGAATTGATTTCCTGATGATTTAATATTAGTTATGTAAGCTATCACTTTTTCCTTGTGATATTTCTAAACCTCTCTCCCCCTTTTTGATTTCCTATTGTTTCCTTTTAGAAGTCAGAGAACACTGACATAAAGCAGCAGCAGCAGCATTGCAGCATATTGGTGTTTGCATGGAAAAGTTTAAAATTATTTTAAAATGTAATTTTTAGCTTCCTTCCTCCTTTCATATCAATATTCATACTCACTGAAGTCAGAAGGGAAAAAGTTTCCAATGGCTGCTCTTCTTGAAAAGGTTCAGCGAAGAGAATTACTAGCTGGTAGCTCATCCGATCAGTGACAAGTCAGAGTTGCTGTCTTACAAGACCACAGCAGTCCCTGTTTCACTTCACTTCTTTTTTGCCTGGCTTTTATACTCCTCTTTTTCTCCACTAAATGAAAAGTGTGTTGCTGTCCCACAGAATAGTTTAGGCAGAGATGGAACTGCATGAAAGTAAGCAGGTTTTCTCCAGCCCTGAGGCTAATCTTTACAGTAAGTTAGGAACTTCCGAATAAATTCCGGTTTGTATTCTTCTTCTGTGTTTCAAGTTGTAGTATAACGTTACTCTATGCAGTTTCTAATTTAATTTAAATATTTCCAACTGTTTCACCACCCCTTTCAGAATTGTAATGTCTGTATTTGATGTGACTTCAGCAGTTCAGAGGGCAGTTTAAATGTGCTTTCCAATTACTGTAGGAAGCTTTACAAAATGATAACAAGCATTACAAGATGGCGGTGCCTGTTCTTGGTGATGAAATGTTTTCGACTGGAGTTAAATAAGCAAAACTAACTTAAAAAGCCCATGTAATTAATTCTAACTCTCAAGTAGCAATTTGATAAGGGAGAGAAATCTTTTTCATCTTTTTAACCTTTTGCTCTGTGGAAAAATAAGTATTTTATTTTCTAGCAAAAGAATTTAGGGAAGTACTTAAAACTATAAAGAGTAATCAAGTCATAAACTAAACCATGGTTGGTTTTGTGTGTTTGTGTTTGTTTTTTTTTTTTTTTCTTCTGCAGCTTGTATATGAGTTTTTCATACGGTTTTTGGAAAGCCAAGAATTTCAGCCCAGCATTGCCAAAAAGTACATAGATCAGAAATTTGTATTGCAGGTAAGCTGATCTGTTTTCTTTAAGGCTTCATTTTGCTTTTGAAAAAAATTTCTTTAAAAAGATTTTGTTTAGAATTTGAAAGTGTAACTTTATTTGCGACAGAAAAAGGCTAAACAAGCATATACAATGAAAGTTTTCAATCTATGGAAAGTACAGAAATGTGTGTGTGTCTTTGTATGTCGGTCTCTGTTGCTATAGATATATACAATAGTTGGTTTGGCTGCAGTTTTGATACCTTAATCAAAATATTTGACTTACTGGTTATGAGAGGGAGCTGAAACAGTAACTGTTGAAAAATGAAAGGTTTAATATCAAGTAGTTTAAAAATGCTGCTATCTAGAGAGGCTACTTAAACGCCAGTTTTAATGTGTCTTAATATTGTTAAAATATTTCTGTTGGAAGGGGAGAATATTTCTCCCTTCTATCTCTACTGGAGAGCTGGCAACAGGGGCAGAAATTCATTAACAAACCTATTCCCAGCACAGTACTGAAAACAGTGATGCTATAGTGGTCGGGGAGGAAGTAAATCAAAAGGCCATATAAAGTTCAAGCTCTATTAAAAGCATGGAAGAAGAAGTAGCGCCAATAATAAACAACATTGGCAAAGAGTGAGTAGCTTTATTTTTGTAGTTTACTTGCCATCGTTATGGCTAAACGGAAGAGAGAGCCTCTGTCAGTCGGTCAGCTGGTAGGCAGGTATTTTACACGTATTTCGTCTTCCTCCTCCTTGTGTACAAGCTAGGCTTCTTGTGTGCTTTGTTATTTCACTTGGAACTACAGTAATGAGTCTTCTCCACTGAGGAATGTTCGTCCAGACCTTGACAGACGCCAGAACAGAGATGGCTGAAAGAAAATGTTTTCTGGGATAAGCCAGGAAACTCCACAGATACGACTTTTGTCTTCAGCTTTTGGGAATAGGCTTGTCTTGTGTTTTCTGTTCCCATCGTGAATTTTTGTATAACTGCGAAGTCAGAAAGAACTTTGTGTTTAATGCTGTCTATAGATTGCTTTTGAAATCAGGGAAATTTAGAAAGATTCCTACTTAGTTAGAAAAGGGAGTTCCCTTGCAGGCTGAGACTTGAATAAAAGCCAAACTAGAAGTGGCAGGAGATACTCAGCATTTCTGAAGACCTTTCTCTCACCCCTTTGTCATGGAGCTTATATAGCGCTCAGGCAACAAAAGTAGTGCTTTTACTGTCCTTGTATGTTATTCATAGGAAGAATACCTGAGTAAACGTAGCTAAGAGAGCGATTTCTATCCTTAAATTCAAATATTCAAAGAAGGGACTTCAATTTCCGTATTAATATCACAAGACCTTCTTCACCCTACAAAAGCAATGGGATATACTTATGTTTTTATTTTATCCATCTTCTAAATACAAAAGCGTTATTCATCTGGATCAAACCTCTGTGGTGGAGTTTCCTTTTTGTTCATCTAAATATTGATTTGAACAAGCGGGTGCGCCAAGCTGATCATCCAATACCTGGTGGAGATGTAAGAATATGCATGTGGGGGTAATCACTCTTGACACCAGACTGATTTTATTTTCTTTATATACAGCAGGATTGCATTAGAAGGAATGCTTGTCTTCTACTTCAAAATCTAGAGAAAATAATTCCTAGATGCTCCTGTTATGTGCTGCTGAACTTGGCCGTGACTGGTGGCATCTCACTCATGCCCTTTCTAGGCATTCAAACCTGTTACAGTTTGGCACAGGAGAATGGGTCTAAAACAAGGATTGATGTTTGTTTGTTTTTTAAATTAAATTAATCCTGTTAGTCTTTAATAAATCTATTAAATGAAAGAATGGTATGTACTGAAAGAGGGAAATACGAGATTTTGAAACCTACGTATCTGAAAATGTATGATACGACAATTCAAGTTCAAAAGAATTCTAAGAATGGTTAGGTGATGCTTTTTTATATATTGCTACAAACAGTGTGTCAATTCAAAATTCACATTTTTCTATAAAAAGTTCTGTTGAGCCTTTTATATACATGCAAGCAGATACATTTCCATGTGTATAAGTGTTTGTGTTTAGCCTGTAGGAACTGGGGTGTCCTTCCACTTAATGTATTTGTTGTGTGTCTAGAGTAACACTGAAGAATCTGTGACTACAGATCACTTACATAGGAAACCAATTTGAGACTTAGGAACATTAAGCATGTTTGGTGTTTGATGACACGAGTGTGACAGTCTTTGAAATCAGCTTTCTCTCTAAATTAATTTGTTTTTTAAAAATGTGAGGAACTTTAATGAAGTGTTTCTTAGCAGTAAGACTGCCTGTATGAAAAATGATACAGTTTTTTTAAAGGGCATTTTTCAATCTTTTTCTTGTTTGCTTGCTTTTTGCTTTTGTTTTTTGACTATAGATGTGTTTCTGGCTTTCAGATGTATGTTTTGATAAAATGCTGTACTTAACAGTGTAAGTGTTCGTTTCTGAAGCTTGCTTATATACAGTCTGAAATGGTTGGCAGTGGTTGCTAAGAGACATACTGTTCAAATATATCCACAAGTGTCTGTGTTATGTACGTTGCTATTTTGGAAAATTTATGTCCCTTTTCTATGTATGTTTAGTGTCAGAATAATCACGTAAATTATGGAAGTCTTCAGCTTATCCATAACAATAAGACTTTATTGTTGAAACCTGATAACAAATTGGACATATCAAAATAACTATCTCTCTTAAATGAGAGACTGAGTCTTAGTTCAGCAATGTTTCCACAGAGGATCTGTATAACAGAACTGGAAATATAAATATTTTTGCTCCTAAAAGCAATCCAGTAAGAAAATTAAAAACATAAGTGTTTCCAGCTGTTTGCTGTCTTTGGTTGAAATTTGCTATTTGGGGAAGGATGAGGTGACTATTTATTTATTTAACTGTAGAACTAATTGAACAAAGCAATGTGTTTATAACCTTTGGAGGGCAGCTGACAAACCTCATTGTTTCCTCATGAAATTCCCACCACAGATTCTTACTGCAAGGAAAAGATAGTGGGATCTCATAACAAGCTACAGAAAGATCCAAAACAATGAAGAAGAATACGTACATCAGTCCTAAATCTGGATGTTAGAAAGCAAAATCTCAGACAGCTTAACACTTTTTATCTTTTTCTGTCTTTTTTTCTTTTTCACCTCCTCAAAGTTGTGTAGCAATTTAACAGAGATCAGGTAGTATACATGCACTGACATATCTACTTATAATAGGTATTTATGTATTTGTGAATCCAAGATAATTTTGTTTTCTGCCAAGATAATTTTGTTCTCTACCATTCCTGTAATAATTTTCTGACAGCATCTTATACATTTGTAAGACCTCTTTGGCAAACTGTCTTTGTTTCTCATGCAGGACAGGTGCTGGTTGACAGTTACTTTCTTTTTCATGCAAGAGAGATACTGATTGCTTATGATTACTATCTTAAACTTCCCTATTTTCTGTGCATTTGTGGGGGGGGCGTTGGTGGGTTTTTGGTTGGGGTTTTTTTTGTTTGTTGGTTTGGTTTGGTTTGGTTTTAAATAAAGTTTACCTTCTAACTTACTCCAAATGTCTGCCAGAATAGCCAATGTTGTGGTGTCAAAACAGATGAAGAAGAAGGGGTAGGGGGAAGGTCATACTTTTGTGGTAGAGGATTCAAAGGGA